GATGAGTCTGGAATGACAGGTAAACGGTGAGTGACAAAACAAAACAGGAAGTGGAAGACAATACAACCAAAAAACAACATACATCTCAACATTTCTGTCGGTGCACAACACACTGACTCAATAGCTCGTGTTTCACACTCCAGTACTCTTAAGTGGTTTGCAAACTGCCAAGAACCGTTCTTGTGCTTTTAAACCGTTCTTGTAATTAACTGGTTATTCTCTGGTTCTGCCCCTTTTCCACCAAACCGGTTCCATAGCCAGTTACAGCTACAGCCTGATTTAGCTCTGGTTCTTCCTGTTTGAGCTGCAGCGGTGCTGGGGCTGCATCTCAGGTCGGTTAAATGAAATCCTTGCTTCCCTCACTTGCGTCGTTTCCCTGCGTCTAGTCTCTCCCACCAGGGAAGCATGGAGGGACGCAAGGAAACCACGAGAAGCAGGGAAATGAGTTTTAAGAGCAATGGGACGACCTTTCCTCCGGAGCGTCACGTGGAGCGACGTCCGTTTGTGATGACAAACGGACACCCCCGCCTCTGTTAGTACACATTTACTGACATAAACATTTGTATCATCTGTTGTAGACCCAAATACATTAAATAAAATAAGAACTCATTCTCAAAAAAGATAAACGCCATTCTTAAAATGTATAAACTAACAATAGTTTGATTAATATTGATTATAGTGCAGCACAATAGAAATTAAATAATTGAGAGAAGAAAAAGAGATATGTTATCTATCAAAACCCAGTTAGATTAACATTCATTGGATTGCACACTTTGTTTGTTTGTGTGGATATGTAGCACATTAACATTTTAAATAGCACTTAATGACTGACTGAATGGAAATGACAATAAAAGAAAATGTAAAACGAAAAAAGCTATCATGAAAATGATTTTTGACCACTTTGTTGTTCAGATATATCACATATTTGTAACTAAGTTACAGTGACTCTCGTGAGTTTCATGTATTTTCTTCACTCCGCTGGGAAACTGCTCTCATGTCAAGAAGCATCAGATCAGTGCATGCACTGCCTCGTCCAATCAGTGAGCGATACACAGTAAGGGGGCGGGGCGAGTATCTGAGGATTTCACCGGAGAATGGTCTGGTAGTTTCTCGATTATCGCTCCTCCATTATCGCTCCTCGATCCTCGTTCCTCGATCCTCTGGCAGAAATAAGAGCCATGGGACGCTACTCAAGATGGCGCAGACAAATCAACTTCCAGTGATACCGAGGACCGAGGAGCGAGGAAATGAAAATAACCGACCTGAGATGCAGCCCGGCTCTAAACACCGAAAACCAGTTCTTAGCTGACCCCACTTGGCCGCCCGGCAAGAACCACGCTCACGTCAGAGGGGGACGAGATTAACCTGAGCCATAATAACAGTTTATGGCGAGTACGGAAAATGAAAGTTGTAACAAGCAGTAGCGCTTAGCAAAGTGACTAGAACGCAACCACACACTTTTAAAAAAAAAAAACACACTTTATAAAGTGCTGCTGATTTGACCAAGCGAACGCGAGAGACGGCTGAGTTGACACACACACACACACACACACACACACACACACACACACACACACACACACACACACACACACACACACACACACACACACACACACACACACACACACACACACACACACACACACACACACACACACACACACACACCTTGCATTTCGCCGTGGGGTTGTCACTGACACACCCCCAGCTCGCTGCAGGGTCACGAGCGTGATGACGAATCATAATTTTTTAAGGGAATCGTTTTTATTTTTTATTATAATTACTGTGAAATGTATTATGTTTTTGTCATTATTACAACAAATACACACTTGCAACTGATAACACTGGCAATGATTTTATATTTATTAGACTATTAAAAAAAAGATCATGCTCCAAATAAGTCGCCAACGCTCACTACACCACTGAATAACAGCGAACTGATGGTCAAAGTAAGGTACAAATAAACCGAATCACACGAAGCCTGGTTAGTGTTGCCTGACTTTATCAAATCAAATCAAATCAAGTTTTATTTATATAACACATTTATAAACGATTTTTGGTCGAGCCAAAGTGCTGTGCATATAATAAAAATAGCCTACAGTAGAGACACTTTACAGCAAATACAACAGCACAGATTGTTCAGAATATCAGTATGAGAAAAAACGACACCCTCTATCCTTAGACCCTCTGTCCGTAGACCCTCTGTCCTTAGACCCTCTATCCTTAGACCCTCACATCGTACAAGGAAAAACTTCGGGAGAAAACCCACAGTTTAAAGGTAAAAATGGGAGAAACCTCAGGGAGAGCAACAGAGGAGGGATCCCTCTCCCAGGACGGACAGACGTGCAATAGATGCCGTGTGTAAATCGAAGAGATAATACTTTTTACAGCATATAGACCGAATGTTAGGAAATGCATGTGTCTGTAATAAGAAGATGAATCTATGAAGATGTCAGCTACAATCCTGTGGAAGCCATCAGGGAAGCAGCATGACGAGACCCAGGCAGGACCGCAGAGACAGGTTCAGCCACGACCCGAACGTCCACGACTTAATCCAGAACTCAGGATAGAGGATCCAGGACACAGGACCACAGCAAGAAGATCAGCCTCGACTCCGGATCCCGGCGTAGATATAGACACAAAACAAGAAAAAATGTGGCTGGGTTAATCGGAACAAGAGAATACACAGACACAGACAGACAGACAGACGGAAGAACAAGCACTCCCTTAGAATAGGTTGAGGGCAAAGGGTAGCAAGTAAGAGAGTAAGAAACATAGGTGGAGAGGCACACTCACACTCCAACTTAGTTGGAAATTGATGAGAGTTAGGGTGGTACGCTGTGCCTACGAATTGTAACACTCCCCGGCCTGTCTAAGCCACTCTACAAACCGTTTCCCTCTAATAAAACCTTGAGAGGTTAGAGAGGGAAAAGATCTTGGATAAAAGTTATTCTTGATAAGAGAAGCCTAGAAGGCCAGAGAGAAAAAGTGAGTTTTAAGTGTTGATTTAAAAAACCCCAGGGTCTGGGCCGACCTCACATGGAGGGGCAAAATGTTCCAGACCCTGGGGCCCGCTGCTGCGAATGCTCGGTACTCTCGGGTTTTGAGCCTGGTCTTAGGCACTATCAACAGCAGCTGATCAGCCGACCTTAAGGCTCTGCCTGGGGTGTAGCGATGGAGGAGTTCGGCTACATAGGCCGGAGCCAGCCCATTTAGGGCTTTGAAAACAAATAAAAGGATTTAAAAATCTATTCTGAACCGAACTGGAAGCCAGTGCAATGAGGCCAGAATTGGGGTGATATGGTCACGCTTTTTATGGCCAGTCAGGAGACGTGCAGCTGCGTTCTAAACTAGCTGCAGGCGTCTAATTGAGGCCTGGTCCATACCCACATACCATTGCAGTAATCCAGTCTTGAGGTAACAAAGGCGTTAATAACCCTTTCTAGGTCTTTAAAAGATAAAAACAACTTGGTCTTAGCCAATAGTCGTATTTAAAAAAAGCAGGTCTTGACTACGGTGCTGACCTGCTTATAAAGTGTGTTGTTTTTTTTACGAGTGTGTGGTTGCGTAGTCACTTTGCTCAGCGCTTGTCGATCATCAAATAGTAGATGAGTAGTGATAGCAGAAATACTTTACAATAGAATCAACTGCCTATGTTGATTTGAAAGTGAAGTACTAAATAATACATTATTATGCATAATATTTGTTTACCAAATATATATATATGCATAGATTCTTTATCCCAACAAGGTTGTTTATTACGTTTCAGTCATAGATGCTCACATTTGAGTAACCGAGTAACAGTTTTGATGTTAAGTCATATATGTAATTTGCTCCTGTGTATATTGTCCACAGTAATAACTGTTACATGTCTAATATGTGTAATGTGTATTTGTAAAGCGCTTTGAGGGCCTTGAAAAGCGCTCTAATACAAATGTAATGAATTATTAACATTATTATTATGTCTACGTATTGCTTTGTAGAGATATCTACTGAAATTAGCTAACTGACTAGCCTGGCAAATCCTGTCTTGTAATACCACTTGTTCCAGAGCTGCCCCGAGGGGTTTTCAATCACCTTACATCCAGGGTCCATGTGCTTATTGACAGTTAGTTTATTGGAGTAAATTCAAAGGGTTGAAAAAGAGTATTGGGCCTTTTTGATCCTTGTAATTCTTCGTCTTTGAATTTGGTCAAATAAACCTACGATCAAAGCACACGGATCTTACAGTCTTTGGTTAGTTGCACAAACACAGAAATGGCTAACGTAAACTTTAGGCCCACGCAAAGATCCTCTGACACCTAATTTATCTTGGCATCACACTTTGTTTGCGTCTCAGTAATTCATTGGACTTCCACGAGGATTTCCAGACAACCAACAAGGAAGGAGGATATAATGAAGGATCTATTATTTTTTTTATAGCCAGGCAACAAGGAAGGAGGATATAGTTTATCATGTAACTCACAATCATTTATTTTAATCTTTGATACTACAATGACAAACTATGGTGCTAAAACTTTCGAGGCTGTCTGAATGAATGCATATGTTTATGGGTTTGGTTAATATACATATTCTGTTCATGGAGCATAGCGTCGATTTCGTGTTCTTCTTGTTGCAGGCTTCCAAAAAATGTTGCTGGGACTAGTGAAATACTTGCTTCGAACATGTGTTGTGGTATGGTGAAAGATTAGTGGTATAAGACCAAAATAAGCTAATAGTAGAGTTAATATTAGACTTGCTATTATTGTGATTTGTGTCACATAGATAACAGGCGCTGTGGAGATGCACCTGTGTACGACACGTGTTGTTTTAGGGTTATATACATGTTATATGGGTACATCTGGAGCATATAGTGAGAATACAACTCAACACAAACAACCAGCAGTTATGAAACCTTGTTTGAACTCTTTTAAACTCTTGGGCTCATTGTGTTTACTTTCACATGGACTAAAGTAACTAAGCACGCTTGAGCCTGATGAAGATAAACAGTGAGGATACTTCCTCTTGTGAAACTACTAAAGCAGCTCCATCCAGCTGAGGATTCAATCGTCCAGCTGACTGATCGAAGTGGGACAGATCTCTGCTCGCTCGCCTACAAACACGTAAGTAATAAAAACATATTGAAGAATATATGTTGTGTTTTAATTGATACATTAATACAATTAATACATTATTGTATTTTCATACATTAACGTCTTACTTTTATATTTCTCGTTCCCTCGCTCTAGACAAGATGAAAATTGCTGTCTTTATCATCTTCATGGCCACTCTTGCCCTTGTTGATGGTTTAACTGTTTCAAATTATAGAGGAGTCATTGATCAGCACAACAAATTTCTTAACAAACACGTCTTTCTGCAGAACATTCCTGACACAAACGATTTGGATGCCTGGAAAAGGTGAGTTAAATGGTTAAGTCAAAAAGTGTATTTAGAAATGCATTTGCATAAGATGGAGATTCTTATTAATTGCATTTAAAGGCAGGACTGTTTCATTTAGGTACCACACTACTGATTCAGTCATAAGTGTTGTACTTTATCAATGCCATTTACTTTGCAGTGAAACAATGATCTTGTTTATACAGGTACCTAGATAGGTATGGCCTCTGCAACGACAAACGTAGAACTACTCAGACCTTCATGTCGAGGACCACCTTTCAAACCCAGAGATTCTGTCAACACAATACATGTGAAGGGAACTTATGTACCAGTGACTCAACCGTGAACCATTACATTGTCAGTGTCGACTTCACCACCAACAGCTGCATGGTTACACGTGTAATCCAATACAACGGATATGTGGTTGTGGGCTGTGAGTATGCTAAGCAATGCTTTCCTGCCCATTTTCATTCGTCTGAGCCAAACAGGCCAAACTGGAATGGTCGACCCTGTTTTTATAAGAAGGGTTAAAACGTTTTTAGAGGCTTAGAAGACATTGGAGTCCAGTTCTAAACCTCTGTCAAGCTATAGCTGAATTAGGCCTTTTTTGCTTTCATGAAAACTTGTTATTTTGATCTTATGCTGCATTATAACACCTGTTACTTGTTAACCTCTGTCATTATAACTTGTGGCTACATGGGATTAACATTTAGATTCTCTGCTATTTTCAATGTAATCAGAAACTGTACACACACCTGTTTGTTGAAAGTTTATTGTCATCTTACCTCAAAGTGAATTGGTTGATTGTCTATAGTAAACTGTTGGTTATCATCTTTTATAACGTGTCGATTCAGATAATTGTCAGTCTGTGAAAGTAGTCAAACTAGACTAAGCGTTATTTGACCCAAAAAGGTCTCACATCAAAGGATCGACCAAAGCACCATAACAAGTTTCCTTTCTTAGAGTTTAATATTCCCCACAACTGTGTGTACTTTCTCTGTTACTGAAAGTGTTTGTGAAGCTGTATTCAAATCCTGTTTGTGTTGCTCTAAATATTGTCAAATAAATGGCTTGAAGCATCAATCAATATTCTCATGAGTAATATGTACTTTTGTGCGATACAGAAACATTTCCACCTCTTCATTTAGTAGTTTTCCTACTTTCAGCTCATTGTTTTATTGTTAAGGCAAATGTAGAACATATTTGATGAACACTGTCAAGCCTTAACCTTGGTTTATTGTTCAAAAAATATGATGATAATATTTTCATATTTTAGATGTAAGACTAAAGATGAATGGTGACACGTTTTTCTATAATATGAATCGTTTGGCTGCTTTTATATGTTTTTAAATGATGACTTGTTATTTATTTACATCCCCTTTGAAACAAGGCTCATGTTGCAATGAGGAAATACTATTCACTTCATATTCTGCCAGGTAACCAATCAGCGTTATTATCCAGTTAATAGAAAATAAGGATATCTTGTTATTATCATTAATATGGGGTCAAAGATTGAAAATGTTTCAGTATTACAGTGACCTCACTAAACAGATATGTATTGCACCTTTCAACAACATGGCAATTCAAAAGACTGAAAGGGTGTAAGAAATTAAAGACAACAAGTAACTAAGGGCGACTCAAAAGAAAAATGTATACCCAAAATCATTTAACATTATTCTCCTGATCATCAAAATGGATGCCAAAGGTGACAGAAGTGTGAATATTAATCAAAGATGACATGGACGGTATATTTCTCAACCGGCTGCAGAGAGAAAGGCTGAAGATGAAGACGATGAAGTTGGCCTCCAAAGCACCGGGTACATGTTATCGCTCATGGACATTTTGGTTCACAGTTTTTACCTCAACAGGCACAAACCACATTCCAGCTGATGAGGCTTAATGCAAGGACCCCAGGTTCAACTTCTTGTGAGGAACTGACGCTTTCTGCTTGAGAGGAACTTGTTCTTGAATATTTACAAAGATTATGGTTTCAGATTATGATTTCCTGCTCTGTTGCTGTGAAGTTGCAGAGGCACTGTCAGGGTTGAGTGAAGCAGGCAGGACCCAAATGCAGATTTCACAGAAAAATACCTTTATTCCAAGGCCAAAATCGTCAAAAACAGAACACTACCCCGTGACAAAGACAAACAAGGAACTAACAATGACGGACAGAAAAACCAGAACTTAAATACACACAAGACTAATCAAAGAAACAAGAGACAGGTGTGGAGGGAGGAGTGTGCAACTCGATTTTGACAGGATAACATGTGTGTACTCTGTATAAATGCTCTGTAGTTGATCTGACTGAAATTGTGATTTTAAATCTCAAAACCGCTACAGTATCTGTCTGGCAGAAACTTGGGACAAATAATTTGACTGAAACCTTAAAACTGAACTAACTGACTGCTAGGGTTAACTTTGATTTAAACATTTTTAGAATACTAAGAGCTTTATTGAGTAGGTGTAACTGTATTAAGGGTTAAACTCATAACTTTATAACTTAGGGTTTAATGTAATTGTAAAACCATTGTGCCACTGAAAAGACAATAACAACTCAGGAGGGAGCCAATCTAGATTTCCTTTTGAGGGCCACCAGCTGCAGAGAGTTAACTAATTAAAGGGGTGTGGCCCCACAGCTGTGAGAACTCAGCAATCAGGTGTCCATTTTAGGTAGCACTTTCCTGGAGCGTCAGACGAAGACATTAAGAGTCCTGCGGGAGTAAGACTGACAAGGACATTAAGAGTCCTGCGGGAGTCACGAGAGAGGCAAAGAGGAGGCAAATCCTACTTTGTAGTGATGGCGAGATGAAGCCTTATGAAGCTTTGAAGCTTTCCTGCCAATTGGTTCGCAAAAGGGTTCATCTCATGAGGCTTCATCATGGGCTTCATTTGAACACAAACCCCCTGTTGGTCAAAGTGTGTAAAACAGGCAGATTGGACATCTCAACAGTGTGTGCTCTATCTCATACCGAGTTCCCAATGAGTAAAGCCTTAGAATAACTCTAAACAACGAACATTAAATCATATTTTCATGTTAACAATATTGTTTTTATTCCAGTTGAATGATTGTGATTGAAAAGCCTAAGGAGGCTGGTAAACATTGCAAAGAGGGATTTGTATTCCTTACTAATATTCATAAACGTAACCATGTTGTAGCCTGAGAAAGGCTAAACCATATAAAAGAATACATTTATTAACTACATTATCTCATTTAGCTGTAGCTTTTATAAACAACAAAAAATACGTATCGACGAGTCGTTGAACCAGGGACCCTGCGGTCGTGAGTCAACTGCTTTCCAGCTGAGCCACAGCACACGCTGAATCTCACTGAAAACACTGTAACATATTTATTCCTGTATTTATTCATTCATGTTTTTTTTCCTACATTTATTTATGCTTGTATCTATTTATACTTATGACATGTTCCGACCTCTATATAAGTGAGGTTCTGAGCTCTTTTAATTCCATCGTGTCACCGGGTCCGGGTACAGGAGGGGTAATTTATTATACATCCATAGGTATTATGAGCGTTGTGGTTCAACGGTTCAACCGATCAGAATCGCTTCGTGAAGCAGTCACATGGTATCGACAGGCAGCGAGGCTTCGTTTGTCATCGATGACGTCACTGGCCCAAAACGATACAAGCCTCGATACATGCTTCACAAAAAGCTTCGGTGATTACTCGACACACGCTCCGAAGCCTCGGCGCAATACGTAACATCACTACTACTTTGATTGAGCTAAGTATCGCTGGTGTTTTTATTTGGTTTTTTAGCCCCTCATGCTATAATCATGTGCATTTTATCCATTCCTGTTTATGTGTCTTCTCGCAATTATCACTGGCCCCGTGTATCTCCTAATCGATATAACCGGCCTGCTCTCGTCTATCCCACATGCTCCACTGAGATCCAACATCTAGTTTCAGGTGGCCTGTGGAACTGCCAGTCAGCTGTTCCTAAGGCTGACTTCATCTCTGGCTACGCTTCCCTGCAGTCTCTGGATTTCCTTGCTCTCACTGAGACCTGGATTACTCCATCCAACACATCCACCCCAGCAGCTCTATCCACAGCATATTCCTTCACCCACACACCCAGACCCACTGGCAGAGGAGGTGGCACTGGTCTCCTGCTCTCTCCCAAATGGAGCTTTTCCCTCTTCAATCTACCTAACTTCACTCCTTCCACCTTTGAATTCCATGCCGTCACAGTAACCCATCCTATACAATTAACCATTGTTGTTCTCTACCGTCCACCAGGCGCCTTGGGGGACTTCTTGGAGGAATCAGATAATCTCCTCTCACACATCCCTGAAACTGGCCCTCCCGCTGTATTTCTCGGAGACTTCAACCTCCAGACAGGGAAGATAGACAAACTAACATGTCTGTTAACCACCTTTGCTTTCTCACTGTCTCCATCCCCACCAACTCATAAAGCTGGCAATGTCCTTGATCTCATATTCTCATATTGCACTTTAACCTCTCTGTAAACCTGCTCCACACATCCGATCACTTCTTTATTTCATTCTCTCTATCCCTTTCCAAACATAACAAACTAATCTCTTCTCATCCTGCACCTGTCCGCCGTAACCTCCGTTCCCTCTCCCCCTCTACCTTTGCCTCCTCGGTGCTCTCAGCCCTCCCTTCCTCTGACTCGTTCCAACTTCTGCCTCCAAACTCTGCTGCAGAAACTCTCCTCTCTACTCTTTCATCCTCTCTGGACTCTCTCTGTCCTCTCATATCTCGGCAGGCTCGTCAGTCCCCTCCTGCTCCCTGGCTAAATGACGCACTGCGTGCTAAATGAACCATCCTTCGGGCAGCAGAGCGGAAACGGTGGAAATCCAAACACCATGACGACCTCCTAACCTATCAGGCTCTCCTCTCCTCTTTCTCTGCTTCGATCTCTCAGGCAAAAAGCACTTTCTTTCAAGATAAGATCCAATCTTCCTATTCCAATCCCAAAAAACTATTTTCCATTTTCTCCACCCTCTTGGACCCCCCCAAAGCCCCTTCCCCCTCCTCCCTTCTGTCAAGCGACTTTGTTAACCACTTTGAAAAAAAGGTTGATGATATTCGCTCATCTTTTTCTGACTCACCTTTACTTACCGCTGGGTCACCAGACGGGGGGTCTGGTGACCCAGCGGGGTGACCCAGCGGTGAAAGGGGGTTTCACCCACACACTGACCTCCGTTTCCCCTCTCTCTCCAAGTGAGGTTCTTACCCTCATTACCTCTGCCCGTCCTACCACCTGTCCTCTGGACCCTATCCCAATTTAGAGACAATGGACGTCCACTCTCGGGAGACGTCTGACAGTGGTGCGGTTACCCAAAGTGACAGACCTAATTTTACCTCTATTTAGAGGCAATGGACGTCCACTCTCGGGAGAGAGACCTCCAGCATGTGTCCCTGAAATGGGGACTCAGGTTATTTCACACATCCAGGACAGAGACTGGGGAAATCACCTCTCTGTGGCCCCTCCAAGACCCCCAAAGGACGGACTACAGACCTCCAGCATGTGTCCCTGAAATGGGGACTCAGGTTATTTCACACATCCAGGACAGAGACTGGGGAAATCACCTCTCTGTGGCCCCTCCAAGACCCCCAAAGGACGGACTACAGACCTCCAGCATGTGTCCCTGAAATGGGGACTCAGGTTATTTCACACATCCAGGACAGAGACTGGGGAAATTACCTCTCTGTGGCCCCTCCAAGACCCCCAAAGGACGGACTACAGACCTCCAGCATGTGTCCCTGAAATGGGGACTCAGGTTATTTCACACATCCAGGACAGAGACTGGGGAAATCACCTCTCTGTGGCCCCTCCAAGACCCCCAAAGGACGGACTACAGACCTCCAGCATGTGTCCCTGAAATGGGGACTCAGGTTATTTCACACATCCAGGACAGAGACTGGGGAAATTACCTCTCTGTGGCCCCTCCAAGACCCCCAAAGGACGGACTACAGACCTCCAGCATGTGTCCCTGAAATGGGGACTCAGGTTATTTCACACATCCAGGACAGAGACTGGGGAAATCACCTCTCTGTGGCCCCTCCAAGACCCCCAAAGGACGGACTACAGACCTCCAGCATGTGT